CTTTAACTGCTAGGTTAGTTGTGTTTTGTTGCTAGGTTAGTTGTGTTTTGTTGCTAGGTTAGTTAATTGTAGCTGCTAAGTTAGTTGAGTTTTGTTGCTAGGTTAGTTGTCTTAAATTGCTAGGTTATTTCTTTCTTGCTGCTAGGTTAGTTGTCTTTCGTTGCTAGGTTAGTTATCTATAACTGCTAGGTTAGTTGTGTTTTATTGCTAGGTTAGTTGTCTTTTGTTGCTAGTTTAGCTGTCTTTTGTTGTTAGGTTAGTTCTTTCTTGCTGCTAGGTTAGTTGTCTGATGCTGCTAGGTTAGTTGTCTTTTGTTGCTAGGTTATTTCTTTCTTGCTGCTAGGTTAGTTGTCTTTTGTTGCTAGATTTTTTTTTCTTGCTGCTAGGTTTTTTTTTTTTCCAAACAACGCCCCGGAAGGGCGGGGGATTGGGCTGGATCCCCAACCTGTGCATAGATCAGGACCCCAAAGTCGGGGCCCAAAATATCAACGATCAAGATACAATAGTCTACATCGTCTCACAAATCAAAATCCAAACCAAAAACAAAAAAGAACTGGAAAACGAAAAAGAAATAGAAACTACAATACATAGTCGATCTTCGGGCTAACAGATGCCCGAGATAAATGTCTAGACTAATGAAAGCAAAAATCCTAAACTAGTGAAAGCAGAACGCAGGATATCCAAGCTGGTCCATCCGTACAAGGGTGCGAAGGCGGAGTGGAGCAGTGTCGGTCTGGAGTGTATGTGTGTCTGGTATGGTGGCGCCAAGGCTGGCAAGATAGTCGGCGGATCTATTCCCCTCACGGAAAATGTGCGTGATCCTGTGATGGACAGACCGGAGTAGATCTCTAATACGCATAAGCGTGTGCTGAATCTGCCACGAGCCCTGGTGGCCCGAGGTCAAAAGGGTGACAACAGCCGCAGCGTCTAGCTCGATCCAAATGTGGCTAGAGAGGTGGACAACAATCTGAAGGCCGATCTGTAATGCCTGAATCTCTGCATCATAGCTCGAGGAAGCCTGAAGGGACGTGTGGAAGGCGGTGATGAGGTCGCCGCTATGGTCCCGGATCAGGTCTTCTCCTCCGGCAACTCCAGTGTGGCGATCAAAGGAGCCATCAATGTTTAGCTTGACCCACGGAGAGTCAGGTCGAAGCCAAACAACAGCTCTGGGCCGAGGGAGTCGAACAGACGGGGGTGGGTCCACCATGTGGCGATGTGGTGGCGTGCAGCCTGTCCAGTCTCGGGCCGTGAGCCTGCCCAATGCGATGAGGAGTGAAATGTGTCTCTCTACCTGCAAAACAATGTGAGAAAACATAAAAGTAATATCCCTATGCTTCGCACTATTCCTTTCTGTCCAGGTGAAGCAAAGGATCAGACAAGGAATGAGGAAGCCTGCGTGTCTAAGGTGTGTGCTCTGTGAGAAAAAACTCAGAAGCTCAAAGAAACTGTATGTGGTGGGTAGGGATATATGTGTCCAAGTGGCAAAATGCTCCCACACTCTCCTCATAATCTCACTCTCTAGGAAAAGATGGGTAAAGGTCTCGGTCTCATGGCGTCCAGTCTCAGAACAACACACACACCGAGAGGGGAAGGAGATCCCCCTCGCGTGTAGCACAGTATCCACGGGTATCCGGCGCAAGAGGAGGCGCCAAAGGAACACCGAAATAGTAAGGGTGAAAAGGTCACTCCAGATGGCCTGAAATAGGAGATTAGGCCGATCCCTCAGCCTGATCTGCTCCCAAGCCGAGGTAGTAGTAAACACACCCGATGATGTAAGTCTCCACCTCATGCTATCTGAACCGTCCCCCGAGATAAGGATCTGCTGGATCTGATCTAATAACTGCTCGCTAAGACCCGCACCAAACCCCAACTCCCTATCAAGCTTTCCCCTATCCCACGACCCGTCCGTCCAGAGGTCGCTCGCAAGCAGGTAGGGGGAATGTGATACCTGCCTATCCCTAGACAATGACCTATCACCTACCCACCACTCATCCCAGAAACTAACATCGCCTTCGCCCAGAACCCAGAAGATGTGATCCTGGGCGCGCCTACCAACCCTAGTGAGGCGCCGCCACTGCCTACTATCATGATCAACAGCCGTCACCCAACAAGGGTGGTTGGCACGTCTAGAGCAGTACTTGCCGCGAAGGTACTGAGCCCAAAGCGACTTTCCTTCCCTGAAGCGCCACCACAGCTTGTATGAGAAAGCTGTAACAATGTCCCTGAGGCGGCGGATGCCAAGCCCACCCTCGAGGAGGGGACGACAGATGGAGTCCCAACTCACCCAGTGGGTACGTCTCCCCCTCCCAGAACCGTCCTCGTAACCCCAGAAATAACGAGCCATAATCTGGTCTATCTCGTCAAGAGTAGACCTAGGGGGGTCGAGGACCATAAGCAAGTGAATCGGAAGAGAGCTAAGAGTGCTCTTGATCAGCGCAAGCCGACCACCGAAAGAAAGATGTCTATGCGACCAACCAGAGATCCTGTCGATCATCCTCTGCCTGACGCCCGCAAAGAGCGCTCTCGTGAGGTTGCCCTTATATAAAGGGACGCCAAGGTAGGTAATCGGAAGGTCGCCACGCGCAAAGCCAGTAATGTCGTGGACCCGCTGAGCCCACGTGGCCACGCTGGAAGAGGAGAGGGTGAATGTGCTCTTCTGCACACTGACCAGCTGACCAGTAACCGAGCCATAGTGCTCCAAAAGACGCATGAGCTCGACCAGTCCATCATCATCCGCCCGGGTGAAGATGATGATGTCATCCGTGTAAGAGAGGTGAGAGATGGGAGGACCATAGCCACGGGTGCTATACGTCATATGAGGAAAGTCGCGGATGAAACCGTCAAGGCAGCGAGAGAGGTAGTCCGCCGCAAGGACGAAAAGGGAGGGGAACAGGGGGCCGCCCTGTCTAAGGCCTCTAGATGAGGGAAAGAAATCGGTGGGGCTGCCATTGACCAGGACCGAGAACGTGCAGTACTCCACGCACGCCTCGACAAAACTGATCCAACGGTCAGGAAATCCCATCCTAGTCAGGGCCTCCCTAAGAAACGGCCACTCTACCCTATCATACGCCTTAGCCATATCTAGCTTCAGCGCGATATTCGGAGCCCGCTTCCAATCCGCACGGGAGATGTCATGGATCATCTCCTGGGCCAAAAGGATGTTATCACTAATGACCCGATCCTTGACGAATCCACTCTGGTTCGGAGAGATGAGGGAGAGGAGAAGAGGGGAAAGACGGCCGTTAAGGATCCTTGACGAATCCACTAGGTTAGTTGTCTTTTGTTGCTAGGTTATTTCTTTCTTGCTGCTAGGTTAGTTGTCTTTTGTTGCTAGGTTAGTTGTGTTTTGTTGCTAGGTTAGTTGTCTGACGCTGCTAAGTTAGTTGTATTTTGTTGCTAGGTTATTTCTTTCTTGCTGCTAGGTTAGTTGTATTTTATTGCTAGGTTATTTCTTTCTTGCTGCTAGGTTAATTGTCTTTTATTGCTAGGATATTTATTTCTTGCTGCTAGGTTAGTTGTCAACGGTCAACGCCGGAGTCAACGCCGAAAGTCAACGATTTTCGCCGGAAGTCAACGGTGAACGCCAGAGTCAACTAATAATTATTTTATTATTTAATTAATGTATATTTTAATTGATTTTGATCTAGACAAAATGAGTAGCTAAGATTGAGTCTCACGTACTCATTTTAAGGAGTGGTCTTATTAGATTCGTCCCTGCATATATATATATATATATATATATATACCAAAACCGATGAATGTCTAACATATTTGAGATTCAAATTTGCTGAAAATAATCAGCAGCGAATTTACATGTATAATAGGAGGGCCATTGGTCCCCCACCAGTTTTGAAGTTGTAACATATATATACATACATGCTTAATTTACAATAATATCCATAATTACATTATTTATTATTTAATTATTGCATTGAATGAATCTATTATTATTTTAAAACTACATTATATTTGTTTTAGATACCATTTTCATAATTGAAAATTGGTTATTTGAAGTAGGAGAGCATGCGTGTTTCGCATTTTCATGAGGTTGAATGGAAAATCACAATAAATTTTAATACGATTTCATTGTTAGTGAATTTCATGAGTTAAAAGAACGTAGAACACAATTTCTATACTACAAAACTTAAATGAATATGCAATTTTATAGTGAAAACTTTATTATTTGTTTTATCATCTTTGAACTATACTTTACTTCTTATATATGTATTTAATGTATTTTTATGCTATTAAAATATGTACTTTCCTCGAAATGTCATTTGAATTGAGATCAGTCAAGTAACTTATATTAAAAATTGTGTTTGTCGCATTTATTATATAAAAAAAAATGTGAGGTAAAGCTCGGCTCATCCACTCCATCATTTTAATAAATTTCAAATTTAATTTCTTAAATCCTAACCGAATTGTTTGGAAACACGATTATAAACTTGATCTATATATTGTTCAAACTTGTCTCTTTTAACTAAGTCCGGCCTCAAATTTTCAAAAACCAAACCAAACCAAACCAAACTATATTCTTCAAATAGCTAGGATTGAATAACAATTTAGCCCCTCCCAAATATTTTTTTTCTGAATCCGCTCCTGCAAATATTAAATATATTGCTGAATTAAAAACACTTGATTTAATCTTAATTTCTTCATACAAATATTTTATTCGTCAAAATACAACCCGAAAAATGCGCTAAAAACTGTCAAGTACAAAAACAGAATCAAAACTAAGCATGCTTTCCTTTAATTAATGTACAACAGTACGTATTCACACTTTTCAGTCAAAAAGAATTAGAAGCTCCCATTACCCAATAAAAAAAAATTACTTTTGAGTAATATTAATTCCCCTGAGGTTACCTATGCTTAAATCGCAGGCTATATAAACCCTCTAATTCTCCCACACACCATCAAATCAAATCTACTTAATTACCTAGCATAATATTCACACTGGATTATCGTTTTCCACTTTCGTCACTTAATTTGCAGCATATGAGAGAATATGAGAGGCACCAAATATTCCGGGTCGTGGAAAGTCCTCGTTGTCCTTGTTGTGATGACTTCAACTTTCACGATTGTTAGTGGAAATAAGGAGTGCTCGTGCCCAACACGAAATGCTAGCCACCCGAGAACCATCGTGATTGGTGGATCCAACAACTGGGAAGTCAATGCTACTAACTACACAATGTGGGCTTTTCGTAATGGGCCCTACTTTGATGGGGACGTCTTGGGTACGTACCGATTACAATTAATGAATAAAAAAATCACGATATTAGGAGTTGATGTCTTGGGTACGTACCGATAGTACGTTATGTTTCTATTGGGACAATCCCAAAAATAGTTCATTATTTTTTGGGATTAATGTCCCAAAAATGATGCAAATTACAACATAACTTACTATTTTTGATTAAGAGTAAGTTATTGTACAAAAAATAGACTTTAGACAAGTAAAAGGACCAAAATTAAAATTATTCCTTGATGATATTATATAAATTGTGTAGTGTTCAAATATAACAATGACCACAACGTGGTTGAAATGCCGGATTCGGAGAGCTTTGAGAAGTGCAACGTGACGGGGGCAAAGGTGTTAGGGAGCACCAAAGATGGTAGTGGTGAGGGGTTTAAGTTTACATTGAAGGCCAGCTTGAAGTTATACTTCTTGGCATGTGGCCAGGCAAATGGCGTCCACTGTGGCCTTGGCCAGATGAAATTACCATTCTTTGTTTTGCCACGTCCGCATTGAATAATAATAATTATAATTATAATAAATCGAAAGTAGTATGTTTCTACTTGAATAATAATAAGACTTTTTGAAGTTGATGTGCTTTAGTTTACGCGCTTTTTCCTTTGTTTTGTTTGAAATGAAAATAACCAGTTCTGAATTTGCTGTACTACTTTTTTTTTTTAAATATATATTTGCTAGATGATTGTACCTGAATTCATGGCTTATGTTTTGACCCGACTTCGGATTTAGTCCTGCAAAATATCCCAGTTTGATTTTGGTTTGTATCTGAAGACAACAAATATTAAAATTTCAATCTTCTGACAGGCTATAACTGATAAAAGCCACTGGAATGCTGGCATGGGTATTTTTTCAGCTTTCCTTTATTTTTTTAATAAATACGAATCTAAAAAAATTGTATTTTTGTTCTTTATTGCACTCTTATTTGATATTTAGTGAGATTACTCTGTTTGGAAAAATATTTTTGGAACCGAAAAAATAATCAGTGCAATTATGGAGATTTTACAAAAATATATACCTACCAAGGACCGAGTCGTAGTATCTCATACCGTAACGAAACCAAGAACTAAATTACCACTTTAAATGTGTCTTTTCCTTTGATTTATATTAATTTTAGTGAGAGATTATTTAAATAGCAACTAGACTTTAACATTTCCAAAAGATCATTTATAGTATATTTCTATTGTTTTTCTTGCATTTATTTTTTTTAATAGTTAAAATTATATAAAAAATTAAAAAAAAAATTAAAATCATATTATTTTATTAGGATTCAAATTTTCACTATTAAATTTTTAATAATAGTGTTAACTAGAACTATCATTGATTTTTATTTTTTTTTATTTTTAAAGATAAATTAAAAAATATTTTAATAAGATTAATAATAAATAAAATATTGAAAAGAATATCACTTTTTATTATAGGGTCGAAAAGAATATCCTTTTGGCCCATGAGATGATCCACGACATCTCCCATGCGAATCGGTTACGAGCCCCAAATCTTGTGCTGGAGCTAGACATGGCTAAGGCATATGATAGGGTCGAGTGACCATTTCTTAGGGAGGTTCTGTCTCGGATGGGCTTCCATGAGCGTTGGATTAGTTTTGTGGAGGCGTACGTGGAGCACTGCACGTTCTCGATTCTAGTTAATGATAGCCCCACTGACTTTTTTCCTTCCACCCGTGGTCTTCGGCAGGGAGATCACTTATCCCCCTCATTTTTTGTTCTGGCAGCGGACTACCTATCTTGTTGCCTTGATCATCAAATTGTGGATCAGTGGGCCCATTGGGTCCACGAACGCATTGGTTTTGCGCGTGGCGACCTCCCCATCACCTATCTTTGTGCCCCCTGTACAAGGGTCACCTTTCGCATGAGCTCTTTACTGACGTCAGGCAGAGGATGATTGATCAGAAAAGTTGCAAAGGTCATATGATAGAAGATCATGAGGTTTTATTTTCACATCCCGACGAATATATATATATATGCATCCCGTCGAATATATACAACCCTGCAGCACCTCAGATGCTTACAGGAAGTCCACGCACAAACCCAGCGCAACCCGGAGCAAGATTCGCGTGTTCCCAGCGTGACCCGCGAGCTCCGTGCGACCCGTCTTTGTATCCCCAGCACTCCGTGTGCTCCAACAACGTTCCGCATGAGGTCTTCTTGGTCCAGCGCCGATGCGCACAACACGATCCGTGCAGTATCAGCCACAACGCGTCCCAACAGTATAGCCAGACCACTAGACCCGCGCGAACTCAATCACCAACCCACCAACGGATCCAGGCGAGCCATCCATGGATTAGATGAGCAGTGGAAAGTCTAGACCACTTCCAGCAGCACGAGTGCAATCCGATATCAGTCCGACAATCCCAACGAACTCTGAGTTTCGGACGATCTCCAACAGCAAAAATCAGAAACGTCTCGGAGTCGGCAAAACTTTTAAAGCGTAAGTCATAATCCTAACTACATATTACACTACGTTAGATTCATTTTCAATAGATTCGATTATGCACATGGACAACGTTCCTCATAGAACCTAACAATAATGCCTCGCCGACCTCCAGTATTTTTGATTTACAATCGACCTATCAGTTTACCGAGTTTGGTTAGACCGTTTATTGGGTCGAGTCGACTGGTATGATAGACCAAATATAATAAATATAAACTCTTTGTTCAAAATTTCAAATGTTTGTTTTGAAAGTAATATCTTTCACCCACTTTATTTCGAATAACACGAGTGAGAATAGTACTAGAATGTGGAAACCAACTCAGAGCTAGGTCTAAAGCCATTTGAGCATAACTTATCTGTAAGTCAAAATTAGCAAAAACTAAAATAAAGAGATGAAGCATAAACAAGTTCAGGTGTTTATGGTTTGCATCTGAGTGATGAAATAAAGATGAACGTATCGACAATTCCAGTTCCATTTGGGAGTTAAGTTTGGCTCGAAAAGATGACCAAGACAATCGAATGGTGGATTGTATATGTCGGGTCAAGGTTTCGTAGCCATTACTGGTATGTATTGAGTACGACTTTGGGTTACTTATAGGATAGTAGTTGCAAATACAACGATAGTTTTTGGGACCACTACTTAATCCCCACCATTGTGAAATGACGTGTAAAGATATCGAATGATAAAAGTCTTAGTCGAGCCAAAGCGCCAACTGGAGCTGTTGCCTCCTCGTCTACGGCTCGAAACAATTCATCGATGTCCTCAACACCAGTAACTGAACATCGTCATCGCCAAGAGATGGTATCGGAACCGGTAGACTATCACTCCTTGATGCTACACATTTTCGCTTTTGTTGTCGTACGCCGGCCATCCCATCCGCACCTCTTCTACGAACACAAGCAACGGCGGATCCAGGATTATTACATGATGGGGGCACCGTATAATTAACAATGCGTCGTCGCCTCGCTTGCAAGTTTGATATATTTTTTTTTTTTTTAATATATGTATTCATATATTGACGGATGGTTTTAGGCCACTTAATATATATATATATATATATATTTCCGGATTGGGTAATATATTAGTTTGATATGGAAAGCCATAAATATGGCATAAACAGTGGGTAATACAAATTTTAGGCAAAACAGTGGGAACGGGTTTTGCCTTATGGGATAAATATATATATTTCCGCACTTATATATATATATATATAGGATGTGGTTTCAAATGAGAACCAAGTCCTAGCGTGAGAACCTTGAGAACGGCTATTTTTAATTGTATGAAGTGCTATGATTGGTTGTAATTTAGTGCTATTTTTAACCAGGATATATTTTATTAAAAATAGCAACACAATTTATATTAACATTTGTGAAAATGATAGCATCATGTAATATTAAAAATAGCATCATATACAATTAAAAATAGCATCAAATATGGTTCTCACGGTTCTCACACAGGACTAGTTTTTATTTGAACCAACACCTATATATATATTTATATATATATATATATATATAGAGAGAGAGAGAGAGAGATAGAGAGAGAGAGAAGGGATCATATGAGAATGATAGATAGTGAAAGAAATAAGAATGATTATAGATCAATGGATCGGTACGATCAATGAACATAATTAAGTCAAAATTAAATAATAGGGTCAAATTCACGGTGGCAAACTATGCCATATTTATGGCTTTCCATATTACCACTAATAAAGCCACCCTCATTCTCTCTCATTACCCACACACACCACCAAGTATCATTACGCACGCACAGATCGGAGTCGTCTTCCTCACTTGGTCGTCGGTCGGCGGCTGATGGCGGTCATCACTGTTCACTCTCTTCCGGTCGACGTCCAAGTCCAATGTCTTCCTCCCATTCAGTTTCATGAAACCGAACAAGAGCGAGAAAACTCTGTTCGCTGTCGATTCGAGCTCAAAATTCACGAAAATCAACGAGAGCGGTTGTTTCACGGCCCACTGGTTTTTTTGCTGTAAATGCCTCTGAAATCGGGGTTGTCATTCCGCAAGGTGAGGTTGGCGGCGGCGGCAGTTGCAGGAAATTAGGATTAGTTTTTTTTCATAAATGAAAAGGGACTTGAGTTTGTGAATTTGATAACATTCAGGGGTTTGACTGCAATTTCAACACTTTTAATAAATTTCAATTGAGTTCATAGGTGAAATTGTAATTATACCAACAATAAATTAATAATATCACAGTTGTCCTGTTTGTTTTCGCATATCAGAATTCAAAATAGTGCATGAATTGATTGGTTGGTTCACCTGATTTTGTTTCCCACGGGTATGTTGCTAATATTTATTATTTTTATAGTTTTTATTGAAATAAATTTTCATAAAAGAATATAATTATAAAAAATAGTATTTGTTATATAGTTTGGCCTTTCGATTATCTAAATAAAAAATATAAAAAATTATATTTTTAATTAAGTTTGATTTTTTATTCGGTTATTTGAATAAAACAAATGTCATCGTATTGAAATATCCAATTTGTAAAAAAATAACGATAACAATCGAACAAAAATATAAATTACTGTACTAAATTCTTATTCGTTGGATCTTGTTCGATTTGGTGCAATATGTTAGACATTTATGTGCAATCAGTATAACCATATTGTGCACTCGCTATACATAAAAAAAAATTGATAGAAAAATATTATTATTTTTCACAAGAAAATATAAATAAAAGGTGGTAATATTTTTCATATAGTTCACCATGTTCGGTTATTTTGTTTATTCAAACAAAAAATAAAATAAATCAGACATTTAACTAACTAATATTATTCGATCGATTGCAAAATTACTTAATATGGTACGTGTTGTGTGTTGTTTTATAAGGTGCAACATGGGATGTTATAAGGTGCAACATATTGATGTATAAAGTGCAACGTATTGTGTGTTGTCTACAAATTGAACCGACTGAACTTTTGTTCTGAACCAAATTGAAAATGAGCACAATTAATTTGTTTATTCGGTTCGGCTAACCGAATAGTTCGAAATAATCGAAACAATTTTTTTTTTTAGTATATTAAAATTATATTTAAGGGTTGGGTTCACATGAGAATACTAACATGCATTTCAGTTTTTTTTGTTAAATAATAATATGTATTTTAATTAAAATACTGTACATTTATCAAATAATTTGTGTAATATAAAATATATTTTGGTTCATTTCGTTCAATACATATGCTAACGTGCAATATCATAGACACAATAGTGCAACATGACAATCGTTAATGTGCAATTTTATTGGTTGTTTCTGTGTCGTGTGAAAGGGCGGAACTTTGGTCCCAACCAAATTGAAACCGACCAATAACATGCATTTTATTTTTTTTAAAGAAAATAATAACATGTATTTTAATTAAAATTATTGTACATTTATCGAATTATTTGTGTAATAAAATATATTTAGTATTTATAACTTTTGTATTTTATATTATATTTTATTAATTTAAATATCATTTACCGTGCATTTGTTATCTTAAATTGCAATTTTACTGACAGAAAAGTGCAATCCGTTAGTCAATAATGTGCAATATGTTCAATAATAATTTAATATTTTATTTTATTTTTATTTAATATTTTTCATTTATTATTTCATGTGTCTAAGAGACATAAAAGTATACTTTTATAGAAATTTTAGAAATTTACAGATTTCACCCATGTGTTAAATTGAAATATAACCAAAATCATCAAATTTACAACTAGACCCTTAAACATAATCTAATTCTCACAATAAACTCCCAAATCCTACATCCACTTAATCTGTGTTTTCAGCCGCCGCTTTCACTTCCGTCGGCAATGTCGCGAGCTTCCGGCGGAGGCGGACTGTACGACGAGGGCCCCGTTCAAAGCTTTGCACCTGGGTCGCTGGCTGAATGTGTTCCACGACTGCCGTAAAGCCGGCGGGAGTCGTCTCAGTCACCTCCTCCGACATCTCCACCCTACGCCTCCGCATTAACTCCGTCGTCTCAGTCACCTCCTCCAACACTGGTCAGCTGGTCAGTGTGCAAAAGAGCACCTTCACCCATGATCATCAAATTGCGGATCAGTGGGCCCATTGGGTCCACGAACACACTGGTTTTGCGCGTGGCGACCTCCCCATCACCTATCTTGGTGCCCCCTGTACAAGGGACACCTCTCGCATGAGCTCTTTACTGACGTCAGGCAGAGGATGATTTACCGGAAAAGTTGCAAAGGTCATATGATAGAAGATCATGAGGTTTTATTTTCACATCCCGACGAATATATATATGCATCCCGTCGAATATATACAACCCTGTAGCACCTCAGATGGCCATGAAAAGTTGAAAAATGACCACCAGAGAAAGGTGCATCCACCAGTTTCATTAGATGGACCAGCCGCAACTGCGCGCCGGTGTCGGAGCCCCACGTACCGCCCGCGCACGACCCTTAGGCAGACCGCGCACGGAGGCATGACAACCGAAAGGGCTCGCACATGCTTACAGGCAGTTCACGCACAAACCAGCGCGACCCGGAGCAAGATTTGCGTGTTCCCAGCATGACCCGCGAGCTCCGTACGACCCGTCTTGGCATGCCCAGCACTCCGTGTGTTCCAACAACGTCCCGCATGAGGTCCTCGTGGCCCAGCGCCGATGCGCACAACACGACCCGTGCAGTCTCGGCCACAACGCGTCCCAACAGTGTAGCCAGGCCACAGACCGCGCGAGCTCGATCACCAACCCACCAACTGATACCAGGCGAGCCATCCATGGATTAAATGAGCAGTGGAAAGTCTGGACCACTTCCAGCAGCACGGGTGCAATCCGATATCAGTCCGACAATCCCAAGGCCAGTCTGACAGCCCAACGAACTCTGAGTTTCAGACGATCTCCAACAGCGAAAATCAGAAACGTCTCGGAGTCAGCAAAATTTTTAAACCTTAAGTCATAATCCTAACTACATATTCCGTTGCATTAAATTTATTTTCAATAGATTCGATTGTGCACATGAACGACGTTCCTCATAGAACCTAACAATAATGCCTCGCCTACCTCCAGTATTTTCGATCTCCAACACCTATCAGTTTACCGAGTTTGGTTAGACCGTTTATTGGGTCTAAGTCGATTGGTATGATAGACCAAATATAATAAATATAAACTCTTTGTTCAAAATTTCAAATGTTTGTTTTGAAAGTAATTTCTTTCACCTACTTTATTTTGAATAACATGCGTTAGAATAGTACTAGAATGTGGAAACCAACTCAGAGCTAGGTCCAAAGCCATTTGAGCATAACTTATCTGTAAGTCAAAATTAGCAAAAACTAAAATAAAGAGATGAAGCATAAACAAGTTCAGGTGTTTATGGTTTGCATCTGAGTGATGAAATAAAGATGAACATATCGACAATTCCAGTTCCATTTGGGAGATAAGTTTGGCTCGAAAAGACGACCAAGACAATCGAATGGTGGATTGTATATGTCGGGTCAAGGTTTCGTAGCCATTACTGGTATGTATTGAGTACGACTTTGGGTTACTTATAGGATAATAGTTGCAAATACAACGATAGTTTTTGGGACCATTACTTGAATCCCCACCATTGTGAAATGACGTGTAAAGATATCGAATGACAAAAGTCTTAGTCGAGCCAAAGCGCCAGCTGGAGCTGTTGCCTCCTCGTCTACGGCTCGAAACAATTCATCGATGTCCTCAACACCAGTAACGGAACATCGTCATCGATGTCCTTGATGCTACACATTTTCGCTTTTGTTGTCGCGCGTCGGCCATCCCCTCCGCACCTCTTCTACGAACACAATTACACAAGAACTTGACATTTTCGTAACTTAATGTATAAAAATGAGCTTAAAATATCCTTATTATTGGATAACCAAAACTAATAATTATTAAAGATTTCTAATGAATAATTGAACATTGACTAATTATTACAAAACTGAGAATAGTAATGTAGCCGAGAGAGAAAGGGGAGAGATGAGAAATTGTTTGAAAAATGAGTGTGGAGACTGGGTATTCATAGGTAAAAATTAATAAAATAAGTGGCCTCAAACCCGTTGGTTCCGGGTTGGCCCGGTGAGTCGGGATGATCTGCATCGTTGGATTACCAACGGTCACAACATCCAACAGTTGAATTTGAAAATTCAACCATTGCATCCCAATGATTCCGTGTTTGATGCAGCTCAAAACTGGCTCCAAATTTTAAAATTCAAATTTGAAATTTCAGCACTAACCCTCGGTAATTTTTTTTAGAAGGGTCCGAAACCGGCCACTCAAAACACGGGCCAAGTCCTGGGCAGAACTGGCGGGTCATAGGCCAATCGGGCTCATTGGTATGACTCAGTCTTGTTACCAGTTATAATTCTTCAAGAAAAGAGAAAGGAAAAGTAAAAATCAACCTGGCCTTGACGGACGCCTTTGCATTATTTTCACCATGCAATGCAAAGTCGGTATCCAGAAGTGGGGAGCGGCTACAGTACCTTTAGGGTACCGTGCCGTTACTTTAATATGAGTCATTGGATGGTGCTAGTTATTACTGGCCATTAAATTTTATGATAGACGCACATTAGCAACATGTACACTACTGTAGACAATAGTTTTCCTAAATAGTTAATAATAAAAAAATTAGAGTGAGTGGACATACAAACTGGTAAAGTGGTAAGTATCTAATTTATTTTTAATAAGTTAAAGAGAAGAATGCAGAGAATTCTGTGCATGTATATACAATCAAAATTTATATACATTTAGTGTGTCATGATTATTATATATTTTTTTCATAAATTAATTCATAATTCATTAGCATCAACAAATAGATTATAAATAAATTTATAATGCTGAATTTACGCACAGAAAACTGTTATGTTGTCATATTGATGCGAGTTTTTATCTTTAAATAATTAATAAAAAGGAAACACAATTATTTTTAATATTGGATCACAAAAATATAAATGGGAAGCTTCAAAATTTGTCTCTGTTATCTATCTATGTCTATTAAAAAAAGTTTGTATTTATTGAAATATAAACTAAAATCTTGCCTAAAGTTTTTAAAATATAAATAATTAATAACAAAATAAATACAATTTTTTCTAATGTTGGATCACAAAAACATATAGAAATATAAATGGGAAGCTTCAAAATCTGTGCCTCTGTTATTTATCTATATTTATAAAACGGTTTGTATTTACATGAAATCATTGTTTTAAATAGTTCGATATAGCTCGCTATATTGCTTTTTTTTTTTTTC